AATAGTCGTCATTTAATATATTTCTTTAGTTTTTCATCTCTCCTTTGTGCACCAACAATTGGTATTTAGAGCTCCGGTTAGAAATCCATGGAGAAACACGGGAAACATGAGTGAACAGTGAGGTGTTGTATGATTGAGAATCATATTTTTTTTCTGATTCTGTGGGATTTGGGAAACACTGTGTGTTAGTGAGTTTTGAGTGAACTTCACAAGGTTAAAGATGAACGGAAACGGTGATATCAGTTCCAAGATTCCAGTGTTTGACGGAAAAACTTGAATCAATGGAAGATCCAGATGTGTGTGTTGTTCGGTTCTCAAGATGTGTTAGATCTTGTCACCGATGGCTATGCTTCATTAGCAGCAGATGCGAAATAGGCACAGAAAACAACGCAGAAGGAGATAAGGAATAAAGATCAGAAAGTATTGTTCTACATCCATTAATGTGTGGATGCGAATGTGTTTGAGAAAATTGTTAACTCTGAAATAGCAAAGGTTGTGTGGGACACACTGGTCAGATGTTACGGTGCTGATGCATAAGTGAATAAGGTGAAGCTTCATTACCTAAGAAAAAATATGAGAATCTCAAAATGAAGGATAATGAGAAGGTTTCTTAGTACATCTCTAGAGTGATTCTGATCACCAATAAGATGAAAGCTTGTGGAGAAACCCTTTCTGAACAAGTAATCATAGAGAAGGTATTGATATCCTCAACTTCTCAATTTTATTACATTGTGGCAGCAATTTAACATTCCAAAGATCTTAGCACCATGAGAGTTGAAGAAATGCAAAGTAGTCTAGAGGCGCATGAGTTGCGTATGACTGAGAGAACTTCTGAGAGGGAATTAGAGAAGCAGGCTCTGAAAGCAACTTCTGGTAAGAAGTATCTGAAGCAGACTTGGTTAGAAGCCAGAAGAAAACTAATGATGGTCAGGGGCCAGAAACTTCAAACACTGATAGGCAGAAGAATGTCCAAAAGGGAAAGGAGAAGTCTAACAAGAAGAATGTTAAGTGTTACTGTTGCAAGAACTTTGGTCACTATGCCAAAGATTGCTGGTCAAACAAAGAAAGGAAGTCAGGAGAAGCAAATATAGCTAGATGAGAGTCTGATGATGAACCTGTGCTATTGTTGGCTTCTGAATTTGATGATATGAATTCATCATAATGGTGGTATATGGACACAAGGTGTTCAAACCATATTACTGGAAATAAGAAATGGTTGGTTGATTTTGACTCTAGGAAGAGTACAGAGATCAGATGTGCTGATGATAAATACCTCAATACAGAAGGTATGGGAAATTCCAGAGTCATTTTATACAATGGGAAAGAAGCAGTGATCCAGAATGTGTGGTATGTATATGGCATGAAAAGCAATATGATGAGTGTGGTACAAATAATTGAGAAAGGTTTTTCAGTTACCATGATGGACAATCTTCTGAAGTTGTATGATTGTAATCAGAAGTTGATTATGGAGTCAAAACAGGGAAGGAACAGAACACTCAAGGTGAATGTTATAACTGTAGACTCTGAATGTCTTAGTGCAACAAGTGTTGTTAGGGAGAGTGAACTGTGGCACAGAAGATTTGGTCATCTGAATTCAGAAGCTTAGGTCATCTGAAATTAAAGAAGCTGGTACATGGAATTCTTACAATCAAGAAGCATGAGAAGTCATGCAAGGTGTGTATGGAAGGGAAGCAACCAAGATTTCCATTTGCATCAGAAGTAGCTCCAAGAGCAAAGTATGCCTTGAGAGTATTGCATTCTGATGTGTGTGGTCCATTTCCAGTAGCATCGATTGGAGGGAATACATACTTTGTGTCATTTGTTGATGAGTTCACCATAATGACATGGGTATCTCTCATAAAGTTCAAACACGAGGTGTTTGCTAAATTTAAGAAGTTCAGACTAAAGGTTGAGAATCAGAGTGGCCAGACTTTAAAGATTCTTAGAACTGATGGTGGTGGTGAGTATAACTCCACAGAGTTTAGAAGGTTCTGTGAGGAGAATGGAATTGGGCATGAGGTTACTGCTCCCTATAATCCTTAACACAATAGTCTTGTTGAAAGAAGAAACCGTACTTTGCTTGATATGGTGAGAAGCATGCTGAAAGAGATGAAGCTTCCTCATACTTTATGGGGAGAAGTTTTTGCCACTGTATGTTATGTGTTCAATAAATGTCCGATAAAGAAGCTGAAGGAAATAGTTCATACTCAAAAGTGGACTGGAGAAAAGCAAAGTGTTAGTCATTTGAAGGTGTTTGGTTCTGTATGTTACAAACATGTCCCAAAAGTTACTTAGTGTACAATGTTAGTAGACTCTGAATCCGTGAGTACGGAAAAGGCTCTTAAGCAGCAAGTCTGGTTGTAGGCCATGAAAGAAGAACTTGATTCTATAGAGAAAAACAAAACTTGGAAGCTGGCAAAACTTTCAGAAGGCAAGAAAGCCATCAGCATCAGATGGGTTTTCAAGCAGAATCTAAAGCTATATAGATCAATTGGCAAAAACATAGCAAGATTAGTAGCAAGAGGTTTTCTACAGAAGCCTGAGATGGATTACTCTGAAGTGTTTGCACCTGTAGCAAGACATGAAACAATCAGACTAGTGATTGCAATAACTGCTAACAGGAATTGGCCTCTGATGCATTTAGATGTAAAATATGCATTTCTGAATGGTCCATTACAAGAAGAGGTATACGCGTCACAACCTCCTGGATTTAAGGAAAAGAATCAGAAAGGGATGGTGTTCAGATTACACAAAGCCTTGTATGGATTAAAGCAAGCGCCCAGAGCCTGAAATCTGAAGATTGATTCATTTTTCAAGGAACAAGGGTTTCAGAAGTGTGAGATGGAGTATGGTGTTTACGTTCAACACACTTCAGAAGGCAATATGATTCTGGTATGTTTGTATGTCAATGACATATTGCTAACAGGAAGTTCTGAACAAGAGATAGCTAAGTTCAAGAAGGCTCTGATGAATGAGTTTGAGATGACAGATCTTGGGAAAATGAGTTACTTTCTAGGGATGGAGTTTATGTACTCTGAGAAAGGAATCATTTTGCATCAGATGAAGTATGAACTTGAGCTTATGAAGAGATTTAAGCTGGAGAATTGCAAAACTGCTATCACACCTGCTGATACGAATCAGAAGTTGGACTTTAATTCTGATGGAGAGGATGTGGATGCTACAACCTTCAAACAGTTGGTTGGTTCTCTAAGGTATTTGTGTAATACTAGACCTGATATTTGCTATGCAGTTGAAATAGTTAGCAGATTTATGAGTAAACTAAATTGGTCTCATTACCAAGCTGCTGTCAGGATTTTGAGGTATGTGAAGGGAACTCTGAAGTATGGAGTGTTATTTCCTTCTGGAAGAAAGATCGAATCAGAACTTCTGAATTATTCAGACTCTGATTGGTGTGGAGACAGAGTTGGCAGAAGAAGTACTTATGGGTACTTATTCAAATTTCTAGGAGGTCTTATTTCTTGGTGTTCTAAGAAGCAATATGTCGTTGCGCTGTCAACCTGTGAAGCTGAATATATTGCAACCGCTCTAACTACATGCCAAGCTGTGTGGATTCTGAACTTGCTGCAGGATCTGAAGATCGAGGTAAACAAGCCTCTGAAGTTGATGATTGATAATAAGTCTGCAATCAATCTTGCCAAGAACCCAGTGTTGCATGGGAGAAGTAAGCATATTGAGACCAAGTATCACTTTCTGAGGAGTCAGGTTCAGAGTGGAATATTAGAAGTTGTACAGTGTAGCATGGGAGAAGCGGCTGGCGGACGTTCTAACAAAGGCTATCAAGACTGGTCAATTTCTTCGTTTGAGGGATGAAATTGGTGTTGTCAGTTTTGTGTAAATATAAATTAAGGGATGATGTTGAAAATAATTTATATTTTAGGAATGTCTTGTTGACTAAGTGTGTTAGAGGATATTTTAGTATTTTATTATATCTTAATATTGTGTATAAATAATCTAATAATAAGTAGGTCAATATATTCATTACTTCTTATTTTATAATCGTCATTTAATATATTTCTTTTGTCTTTCATCGCTATTTTATCCACCAACAGGAATAACATCCACTTTTAATGTGTTTTTCTATTAAAAAAAAATGGGACTTGCTTGATAGGGTCAAGTTGCTATCCTGAGATTGACTGCAAATTAAATATAGGGTGTGTACTAGTTCTACTAGGGCAGTTTGGAGGTTTAATACAGGTGTTGTTTAAACGGTATAGCTTAATTCTTTTGTTCCCTTTTGTTGAAGAGTGTGTGGTTTTTTCTCTCTTTCATTTCACCTTATATTTCTCATTAATTCATTTTTCTTATAAAAATAATAATATTGACTTTTCTTAGTTGAAATAAGATTTATAGACTAATCAAATTTAATTTAATAAGTTAAAAAATTGTTCCATGTAATTTAACATCAATGTATGATTTAACTATTTTGATCTCATAAAAATAGCAACCCACTTTCTAAAATATATTTTTTTACACATTTTCTATGATTTAGAATCTTAAAAACTATGAGGGGTTTTATATAAGTTTAGTGGAACTAATATGAATTTTACCCAATAGGAAAATGTTAGACTATTCAACTAAAAAAAGAAGAAAAAAAAACTATTATTTTCACATAACTCAAAGACTAAATTTTTTTTTTAAGTGTTATATTTTTTATTAAGAAATTATTATTATTATTTTCAAAAAGACTCATCTATAATTTCGATTTTGATGTTAAAATACTTGGGCAAACCCTGAGTTATAATGCAAGATGAATCCTTCATAAATTAGTGTGTGAGAATAGAAAGAGATTTTTATTGTAGTTATTAAACAAACATGCATAAAGAGATAGTTGAAAAGGTTTGAACTTTGCTTGTTAGCACATGCTATTTCTACTAAGAAACAAAATTTGAACATATAACCAAACTGTGCAGGTTATACTACCCTATGAATCAACTGCAAAATAACAAACTTACATGAAAATAATTCACTGATTTAACTGTTTAACTTAAATATATGTCGTTCAACGACACGCAACTATTATCGAAGAATCCTGGTTGTAGAGACAACATTTGATTATAGAAGCAATCATCATTTGAATTCATAGCTTCTGGATCTGTATAGAATTTCTCGGTTTCTGGCATCTGGGTGATTAGTTGAGTATCAGATTTGGCTAGAGACACCGCAGAATCCAAAGACTGTGTTTTCACTGAACCCAAAGGATTGATCATAGACTGTGATCCTCTTTTCATATCTGCAACTCCAACCGAATCCAAAGTATTGTTCGGAGATTGTGTTTTTGCAACAACCGGATCGAAAATGTTGTTAGAAGATTGTGTTTTCAAAACTGCACTTCCAACTAAAGAATCTTTTGTAAGTGGTTCTAAATTATGTGTCAATGGTTGATTGCTTGGGATGCAAGAAAAGGAACTGCTATTTACGTTATGTGTTAATGGATGATGAATGCTTGGGATGCAAGAAACGAAACTGCTATTTGCATTATTATTAGCTGCAACTTTAAAGCCTTGGTAGCTTGAAGAAGGTGTAAAAGCCTTTGGATCCTGAATTGAGCTTAACTTCGTATAACCAGTTCGATAATCATTTTGCTGAAATTGATTCGTCCCTATTGATGTTCGAAAGTCCGGTAAGAAACAGGACCTTTCATTTGCAGAAACCATTGGCATTTGGAAACCGTTAGTGTTGTTCCGTGACTGAAACGGAGGCACTGATTCATTTGCAGAAACCACTGGCATTTGGAAACCGTTAGTGTTGTTCCGTGACTGAAACGGAGGCACTGATTCATTTGCAGAAACCATTGGCATTTGGAAACTGTTAGTGTTGTTCCTGGACTGAAACGGAGGCACTGATGCATAACTAGTCCTTCTGAAGTTCAATGCAGGTGGAGTGTTTAGCGGACAAACTAACTGACCGGATCCATATGATGGTAATGTGCTGTTTATGAACCTTCTTCCGCCTACTGAACCCATTGGCAGATAAGGGCTAGTAGAATCAAATATAGCATCAGTTCTAGGCTGTTTATCTGATCTTTTGAGGCTCAATCTGAATTTCTGCAATGCAAAATAAGAGTTATTACAGTATAAAAAAGGCTGTGACAGAATATTTTACCATTGTGAATTTTTTGACAGAAAAGAGAAGTTACAACATGTACCTGCAAATGACTAGCTACATTCTCTCTTGTAAGCCCTTGGACATTCATCAACTCGAGGATTTTCTTAGGATAAGCCTCTGCAATAACAGTAAAAAAAAACTACATATTAGGATCAATAACATTCATAAACTTAGAAAGGTAAAAAAATTGACATAAACTTACTGTCAAAACCAAGTTGATTCACTGCAACAACAAATTTATTATGCAACTCAGTATCCCAAACGAAACGAGGCTTCTTCTCAGTAGAATCGTCCGTATCATTATCTTCTTCTGAATCGCTTCGTTCTTTTCTTTTTTGCCCTAGAATTTGATCATTGACAGCAGCATTTTGATGAGATGTAGTATAAGGACTACAAACCCTAGCAACATTGCCGATTTTCTCCTCATTACTGTCACCAGAAACCTTTTTCTCCTCATTAGCACCAGAAACCTTTTTCTGATATTTTCCATCAATCTTCTTTCTCACAACATGTTGCCAAATCGTCTTCACCTCTTCCATTCGTATCGGTTTCAATATATAATCACTCGCACCGTTCATCACACCTTTCATCACGCTTTCCGTATCACCGTGCCCCGACAACACTATAACATACACAAAAAATTAATCACATAACGTGAATATAAAAAGTGAACAATTGTAAAAGATAAAACAAAGGTGTATGCATGATGAATGATGAACTTACTGATAAAAGGTAGATCCCTCCCAAGTTCTCCAACTTGCTTCAGAAGCTTGAAACCATCCATCTCCGGCATGTTAACGTCACAAATAACCAAATCAAACATATCTTTATTTTTCCGCAACATTTCCAATGCTTTCACGGACTCCGTAGTCGTAGTAACTGTAACAACAATAACAACAATAACAAACAATGACGAGGTCAATAAAACAGTAATCAAGAAAACTTCTATATCCAGAATCAAGAAAATTTCAACTTCAAAAAAACTGAAACAAGAACAAACACTTGTTAGGGTTACGCGTTAGGGTTATGTGTTAGGGTTAACTGTTAACGATTAACGAACCTTTATAGTGGCATTTCAGAAGCATAGTCTCCAACATATTCAGACAAACATGATTATCATCAACGGCAAGAACATGCATTCCGACAGGAAAAAGACCAAGAACATCTTCATAGACCAAACCATTGTCGGTAGCCATGACGATGAACAAGATTGAAAGATGAGAAACGAAACAGACCCAGAAAATAAGTTGAGAGAATTTTCTTTCTTAAAAGTGAACAAGTTAGATTATTGTATCCAATTAATAGTATTGTGAGCATTTATAGAAATATATTATTGTGATTTGATACGATACTTTCCAAAATTATATATTACTTAATTTTCAAGTAATGATTATTGTAATTATAATACTATAAAAAAAAGAGTTCCGGGTTTAGCTCAATCAACGTGAGATAAATATACTTAATGCTTGTTTAGGTTTAATAGCGCATTTATGGACATTAATTGCACTACTTATTTATTTATTTATTTATTTATTTATTTATTTATTTATGTAATTATTAGTATAGTTTTTTTTTTGCACCATCTCATTATGTATCAATCACCCCGAAAATTACTAATTATGTTGAAATTTTTTTACTTACTATATTTATGTTATTAAATTTATTTTTTAAATATTAGTTGAAATAAAAATTGTTCAAACTTAATTCCAAAACAAATCTTTCAATGTTGCAATAATTATTGAAAAGAATATCCTACAAATATTTGATTTCTCTATGTTTAAAAATCATATTGTCTTGTAATTGTTCCAAAAAAAATAACTCTTTGAAAATTTTTTCCTACAAATTCAAGAAAAATAAGTATAACCCACAAATCTCGTAAGTCTATATCCGAAAAGTAAATATATTATTTTAATTGAATTAAAAATCTTGAAATCTAATCCCTAAAAATTTATTGAATCTTTTATATTATTTTCCTTCAAATTTGGGCCTAAATTGTATAACCCTTCAATCTCCTAATGATTTCCTATTTTTTCGCAAAATAATATCCTTTAAATATTCTCTTGCCCTATATATAAAAAATATATTTTATATTTTCTTAATGTTAAGTGGGTGTCAACATGCTTTTCTCTTCTTTGAATCTTGTAATATATAATGTATTTGTAATGTATTCAATTTTTCAAAATCATTTTTGGCATTTTATATCTCCTAACTCATTCAAACAAAATATATTTTTCTTAAATGTTTTGTTTTGTTTTCTTTTTTGGACACAATAATGTTTTGTTTTCATAATTTTTTATTGTTCAATTAATAATTTAATATCATCTATGGTTAAATAAAATTTTAATCTAAATAAATTATTTCTAGTTTTTAATCCCGATAAATTTTTTTCCAAACAATAATAGTCTTTTATAAACATTTCCTCTAACAATTTTGTTTTTGTTGTTAGAAGACTACACAAGTAACATTATATATAAAAACTAAAAATAAAATTTTTTTAAGAGACAAAAATATATTTTTACTTTACAAAGAATTATATAACTCATTATAGTTTCTCTATAAAATGTTAGTTTAATTTTTTTTAACAATGAAGAATAAATTTATATTGATTGAAAATATTTAGGAGATCATAAAAAAATTGAGGAATATACATTTTATTATTTATAGAGATAGATTATTTATTTACACTATCAAATAACATTAAAAACTTTAGGTGTATTTTAGTATTAGTGTTCCCCTCAATGAAATCAAACTTGGAGAACGTTAACTTAATATTCTTTGTAGACTTATTTGTGAGCAGACGTTTTCTGTTTAATATATAATAAAGAATTTAAATATGTTTATTAATGATGGTTAGCATATGAAGTTAATTTTTTAATTCATAAAAGAGAACTATTAAAATAATTTTTTACTAATTTATATAATTACTAATAGATTCTAATAGATTCTTTAATTATATTTATATTTTCTATAATTTTTATAATCACTAAAAATAATATAAAATTTTCTATTAGTCCAAATCAATATTTAAAATATAAGCAATTAAAATAAGTTATTAATAAACAAAAATGAAAAAAGAAAATTGATCTTGGTGAAGCGTTAGTCTAATACTTCTATCTATTTGTAAAAGACTTGATCTTGGTGAAGTCAAACCCATAAAAATGTTTCTAGCTAGCCGATAGATCCATAAAATATCCGGTTGAAATATTAGAAGATGTTCCCATTAGAAAGTTGTACATTCCCAAGAATTCACAATCATGAATATAGAGGAAAATGCTTACATTTTAATCCTCTTAGGAAGGTCCTTTTTTTGCTACTGCCGGTGCCAAGGGGAAACCCTAACCTTTCAAGGTTCTCCTCATATCCAATCATTTTGAGTACATGGGGACCTAAAGAGGTTCCCTCAGCTAACTTGTTATTAAAAATGACCTTTGAAACCTGAAACCTCTCATTTCTTGTCTGCTCTTGATATAGCATCTTGATATGTCTGATCATATCGAACGCTGCCATGTTCTCGTGTTGCTTTTGCAATTCCGAGTTCATGTAGCCAACATGAGGCAAGCAGTTTCATTGGCATCATCTACATGCTTCTTATAAGCATCTCTTCCAACCTTAGGAGTAGAACTGGGAGGTTCCTCTTCGGGAACATGTGTCTCTAAGACATACAATGTTTTGTCATGTTTGAGGACAATCCTCATACTTCGATTCTGTTGTACCCCAAAATTTATCCTCTCATTTCTCAAGAATTCACTCACAAGATCTTCTATGACGTCAAGTTTGCAGCACTGATACATCAATTTAGACTTGGAATTGACACAAGGGCAAAATGGTCATTTGCACACTAAAAAGTCAAACTTTGACTTTTGATCAAAATCAAGTTTCAAGAATCATATTTAATCAAGACATGTTGAAATATGAATTTTGTTTCATCAAGAAATTCAAAAGTCAAAATTCTAAAATACTTAGATTTTTCTAAGTGTTTAAGAAATATGACAAACTCAGAACTTCTAATCAGATTATCACCATTATGCAAGCTGATTCTGGAAGAACTTCTAACACAAGAGTTTTAGATCTCAATAAGACCTAAAATATTGCAGAATAAAACTTCTTCTAGAAGTGCTGGGATTTCAAGTTATACATCTTTAAAGTCACGTCCATGAAACTGAAGCTTTCAGGAAATTCTGGACCTTTCCAAAACAGGACTTGGTTACAACTTCTGAACCAGTTTTCACAAAGGTTCAGTCAGAGTTTGCAAGGGTAATTCAAAGAAGTTTTATAAAGTGTGTTGCAAGCTTTCTGGAAAGTCTGAGAGCTCGCTCAGAACATGCTGGAGCGAAAAGATTAAAGGATCAGAAGTTGGATATTGGTTCTAAGTTGCGCTGATGCTGAACTTCTGACCCAAATTTAAGCTATGATGCATAATCTCACATTGCAGGATTTCTGGTTTGATAAATCTCATCACCATTTAATGCTCACAACCACTTTTGAGTTTTTATCCAAAGGATTTTCTCACGTATGACATAGAAGTACATTGTTGTCCTTGAAAAAGCAAACTCTTGTACAAAAGTATGTTGGGCCCATGCTTTGCTTTTGCCTCTGAGTTTACTTTTCCTTAATTCATGCTTATAAATCCAACTTAGGCACGGCTAAAAGCTGCTAACCACCATAACTTTTTTATCTTGCTTCAAGAACAAGCCAGCACGCTAGCATGATGTTGGTACTTTTGACTTGTCCAAGCTACAAAGTTCTTGCCTATATGTTGTACCCCAAAATTTGCCCTCCCATTTCCTCAACATTTTCTCATCACAAGACCTTTGAAGATCAAGATCCAGTTAGGGTTTCCTCTGCTCAAGACTTCTCCTTGCACTGTGGACTCAAATTAGGGTTTGCGTTTGCCCAAAGATGTTTTGACCTAGAATGCCTAAGATGACTTTCATGCTTCATATTGGACTCCCAAGTTTACCTATACCAAGTTTCAAGTCTTGATTTCAAGTTTTGCCCAGTCAATTGGACAGTTGACCTAGAAATCAGCTGTATTGGAAAAAAGTCAACTGTGGCCAATTGACAGTCAAACCTCATGAAAATTGACCCACATCAACATTATGAACTCATATGGACCATTTGATCAAGTTTGGATCACAATTCCACAAGAAATTTGATCAGATCACCAAAAGGGCAAAATGGTCATTTTTAGGGTTTTGACTGCACAAAGGCAATTTTTGATTGATTGACCTAGCCAATGGCAAACCAAGCTCACATATGGACTCAAGGACCCCATGGAATTATCTTGACATGTTCATCAAGCTCAAAAGATCCCAAGTACACAGGATTGACAGTTGAATTTCCCAGTCAATTGATCAATTTTGACTGTACACTGAAAAGTCAAACTTTGACTTTTTGGTCAAAATCAAGAGTCAAGATTCATTTTTCATCAAAACATGCCAAATCATGAAACTTGTTCACCAAGAAATCACAAAATGCAAATTAGGGTTTAAAAATGGAATTTTTCATAACTTAGAATTTTTCTAAGTTATGAAAAACCCTAATTTTTTCCCAACTTTGCCCCATCTTTTCACCATGATCCATTTGGATTCAAACAAAAGTCAAAACATGAAAGTTGTAGCTTGTTGCATAATCTACAACTTTGATTCACAAAGTTTTCTCATTTGAAGCTTGTATCTCAAGTTATAATTTTTTGAATAAGGGCACTAAACCATTTTTAACTTAGTGAAATTTTAACCTATTTTGACAAGGTTTTCTACCCCACTTCAAGACCACTTTTCATACCCTTCCACTTGGAATTTTGATTTGCATTTCAAAGATGGATTGTAGTACACATTCCAAGCTTTCCAAAATGTCCAAGAACTTATCAAACAACCTCATAACTTGAGAGATTCGAATTTCACAAGTTGGCAAAAATCCACTTTTGAATGGTTCATGAACATGTTCATAACTTGGACCATTTTCAAATCAGCATAGTTTGTGCTACATTGCAGGCCCTAAAACCCTTTGACACTCATAAATTTAATGCAAAACCATTGAACCAAGTTGTTATTCTAAGCCTTTGGTCATTACACAAGGAATTAAGCCTAAACTAGAAAAAGCACTATTTCCATTCTTGAAAAGAAGAACTTTATGTCAAGTTTGCAATCCAAGTGGTACAATCAAGATCTTCTTGGCACAAGTTTGTGAGCAAATT